TAATGAGGAAAGAGAACCTTGGCTCTTTCATAAGGATCATTAGTGATTTACTAATGGGAAAATACACTTCATTGGTTTTAACATTTGGAAATTACTCCTTTTACTGATCAAAATTTTGCCTCTATTTCCCTTGTAACTTTCTATAAGTGACTGCTTCTAGCTCTTCCCTATAGAATAGAAAATTTTTTTATCTATCTTTCTAGGTTCTTTTGTCTGGTCTAATAAGTAAATTGACATAAGACAGAATAATATAAGAAAAACGAATTTAATTTTGTATCTATTGGAGCCTCACAAAGACATGAGAGGCTCAAAGAGTCAGGCAACTGAAGCTTATATACCATTCTGAGCTAAGGAGAAGGGAGTAGGGGGTCTGTGGCTTCAAAGGGAAGGAAGAAATTTCACAGGAAGATGGGAATGTAACCACATATAAATTTCATTTTTTTAATATGACTTTTTCTCCTTTTGATTCAAAGTGGCCTCATCCAGCACCCTGACTCACTTGCCTCCTTCCTTGCATGACTACTCTTTAATCATTAAGCCCTCAGGACCATGAGGTTCTGATCAGCATCAATTAATCTTAGGAACAAGCTCCTGATCTGTTCACCACAAAAACAGAGATTTGGTCAAACTGAAGATAATATCTAGGTCTCAGATGTGTTTCAGATCCAGTCCCAGAAAAGAGATGAAACCAGATGAAGTGACACCATGGCTGACATCGGAACCAGATGCACTGATCAACTACCCCATATCCTAGTGCTACCAATCAGTAGAGACCACAAACCTAACTTCCTTAGTCACCATGATTAATGATTTTCCCTTATATACCCCATGCCCTGGAAGCCATTAAGTAGTCAGGTCTTTGCGTATTAGCTTATCTATGACTCCAGGTGTGGGCCACTTCCTTAACTAATAAACCCTTACTTTCTTTGCTGAAAGCTCCTGTTGATGTCTTCTTGGATTTTGATACATGCAGGCAAACTGGCCCCTTTAGTTCAGTGACAGGAACAGCAAATGTTTGTGTTGAGATAAAAAAATGTCCAAACCAGCAGAGAATTTTTATGAATTTATTTGAGCCAAACTGACAGCATCTGCTGGGAAGCAAAATCTCAATGAATATGGACAATGCTCCAGAGAATGGCAGTTTTGGAACATATTTTATACATTAGAATCAAAGGAAGATATATAAGAAGGGTTACATGAAATCCACTAGTGGTAGATTAAGAAAGTGGGAGAAAACAAAGTGGGGGAATCTCTAGGATTAGATAAAAGGCAAATAGGAAAAACACATACTTCTTTTACATTGCTGGGTACAGGATAGTTAATAATTAACAAGGTAAAAATGAGGGGTTCTATGGTCTCCTGCTCTGGTGGTCTTGTGCTTTGGTGCCTGTGGTTGTGACTTTGAGGGGTAGGAAAAGAAAATTACTCTGACATTTCAAAGGTATGTTATCCTAGACGTGTAAGAACAATGGACAGGGCTCACTTAAGGTAAAGAATGATCTTTACTAAGGAAGCTATAGGCCTGGGACATGACTACTAGCTATAACTTGCTCAGTTAGGAATTTGTGACCAGACCATCCTGTGTGGTTAGTCACTGCACTTGTCATGCCTGACATATAGCCCCTGTGCTTGTTAGGATTATTGCACAGCCCCCTTTTTGTTCACATTTGGTAAATAAATGTTTTCCATGACACGCAGAAACAATGGAACACAGAGAGAACTTTGAACAAATAGGCCCTGCTGAGTTCCCCCGGCCCACCATACCCACCCTACACTCTTTGTAGTTATCTCTAGTGATAGTGATCTTCCTCGACCTAAATTATTTTAGTCAGTTAAGGGGAGGATAAAAGGTCTTCCTGAGTCTTTTGGGCCTTGACTGTCTTCAGCTCAAAATAATCCACACGTCAAATTCTGGGGAGACTTGTTCTGAACCCCTTCAGACCTCTGGATGTATACAAGTAAAGATGATGTAATAATTATTCAAGAAGCTGCTGGTTTTGCAGAATTTACCCTTTATCGCTTCAAATAAAAAAACTTAATTGCTATGCCTTCTCCACACATACACAAAGGTAGCAAAAGGTATGTCAATAAAAAGAACCTTAATCTCTGAAAATTTTAGAAAAAAAAAATTTATTTGGATCTATCTGAGGACTATAGCCCATGAGCTGAGCTTCAAGAAACCTTGAAACAGTGCTCCAATTTCAGAAAAGTGAGGGGCACTTATATAGGCACATGTATAAGCGAAATGTACACCTGGTATCTCAGAGTTTCCACTAGGGTAGATGCATTTCAATGATTAAATTTTTAAACAAATGGAAGGAATACATAGAAAAGATAAGTTTGGATCTGCAAACAAATTGCCTTGAAACTGCAATGCATTTTATCTGGGTGTAGAAAGAATAGGTATTGCTTGTTGTTTTTTTTGTTTGTTTTGTTTTGTTTTTGTAATCATTGACCTTTAGTTTGAACATTTTGTAGGTCTTATATATGACTACCTCCCCGCATCTCATGGTTTACCTTAGGAGGAATTTAGATTGGCTCCTTGTTCTCTCTTGGTTACTGATAAAGTCAGAGAAGCTGAAGCACCCTTTCTTTTCTCAGGTAACATCTGAATGCTTGAGGAACCCTGACTTTAGGAAACCACAATCTTTTAAAGTAGCGGATGTTAAATCTGCCCAACCTTTGCGTTAGACATGCTTTATTATTCTGAACAGCAAACAAATCTGCCCTTTATCCTCTACCCCAGAGGGAGATATTATTTCTATTTTCTAATCTCTTTACCCTACAAATATCCTTGAATAGATAATTCAGAATGAAAGCTGATGCAAGATATGCAAAATGTGACTCTTAGATAATTATCTCCCAATTACATATATGCATATAGTATGTATACTCTTCACACTCATAACAGTTAATTTTTGCATAAATTGGATTCATTTTTATATACTGGTGACATAATTTCTTAAAATAATTATTTTATTTTTCAATTACAGTTGGCATACAATATTAGTGTCAGGTGTACAACAGTGATTAGACATTTATATAACTTACAAAGCGATCACCTTGATAAGTTTAGTATTCATCTGACACCATATATAGTGATTACAATATTATTGACTATATTTCCTAGGCTATACTTTACATTTATTTTTAGTTTTAAATTAATTCATTTGCTTTTTTGTTACAGATGACCCTCCTTTTTCCCCCACTGACATTGTCCTTCCCGCTCCCATCTCCCCTTCACAATATTGTTGCCTATGTTCATTAGTTATGCATATTTGTGTATAAGTTCTTTGGTTTATCTCTTCCCGCCCTCTCAACTCCCCTCCCTCTGAGCTTTGTCAGTCTATATCCTACTTCCATGACTCTGAGTCTATTTTGTTTATTAGCTTATTTTTTTTCATTATATTCTACAAATAAGTGAGATCATGTGATATTTGTTTTTCTTTTATTGGCTTATTTCACTTAGCATAACACTCTCCAGTTCCTTCCATGTTGTCACAAAGGGTAAGAAATCTTTCTTACAGCTTCATAATAGTTTATTTTGTATATGTACCACAGCTTTTTTATCCACTCATCTACTTATGGAAACTTGGGCTGATGTCAGATCTTACCTATTGTAAATAGTGTTGCTATGAACATAGGGGTGCATATATTCTTTCTGATTGGCATTTTGAGCTTCTTAGGATATATTCCTAGAAGTGGAATCACTGGGTCAAATGGCAGTTCCATTTTAAATTTTTTAAGGCAACATCATATCGTTTTCCATAGTGGCTGCACTAGTCCACATTCCCACCAGACTGGTCCCCTTTTCTCCACACCCTCGCCAGCACTTGTTGTTTGATGATTTGTTGATGCAGCCATTCTGGCAGGTGTGAGGTGATACCTCATAGTCATTTAAATTTGCATCTCTCTGATTATTAGTGATAATGGACATTTTTTATATATTTCTTGGTGATCTATATGTCCTGTTTGGAGAGGTGTTTATTCAGGTCTTCTGTTCATTTTTTAATTGGATTCTTTGTCTCCCCTTTGTTGAGTTGTGTGAGTACTCTATTTATTTTGGAAATAAACCCCTTATTTGATGTATCATTGGTAAATATGTTCTCCCATACCATGGATTCCCTTTTAATTTCAATGCTAGTTTCTTTTGCTGTGCAGAAGCTTTTTAGTTTCATGTAGTCCCATTTATTAATGTTTCCTTTGTTTCTCTTGCCCTAGGCAATGTATCAGTGAAAATTCTGCTATGTGTGATGTCTGAGATTTTGCTACCTACATTTTCTTCTAGGATTTTTCTAGTTTCATGAGTGACATTTAAATCTTTTACCCATTTTGAGTTTTTATTCTTGTGTATGGTTTAAGTTGGTGGTCCATTTTCATTTTTTTTTTTTTTTTATGTAGCTGTCCAATTTTCCCAACACCATTTATTGAACAGACTATCTTTACTTCATTGTATGTTCTTACCACCTGTGTGAAATATTAATTGAGGATAATTGGGTCAATTTCTAAGTTCTCTGTTCTGTTCCATTAATCTGTATGCCTATTCTTGTGCCAGTGCCAGGCTGTTTTATTATAATAGTTTTGTAGTATAACCTCATATCCGGAATTGTGATTCCTCCCACTTTGTTCTTCATTTTTAAGATTACTGTGGCTATTTGGGGTCTTTTTGGTTCCATATAAGCTTTTGGAGTATTTAGTCTAGATCTGTAAAATATGTCGTTGCTATTTTATTGGGATTGCATTGACTCTATAGATTGCTTTGGTAGTATGGACATTTTAATTATGTTAATTCTTCCAATCCATGAACATGGTATATGCTTCTACTTTTTTATATCTTCCTCTATTTCCTTTTTTAATGTCCTGTAGTTTTCTGAAAACAGGTCTTTTACCTCCTTGGTTAAATTTATTCCTACATATCTTAATTTTTTTTTGTTGTAATGGTAAATGGGATTGTTTTCTTCTTTTCTCTTTCTGTGTGTTCATTATTGGTATATAAAAATGTGCTCACTTTGGCAGCAAATATACTGAAATTGGAATGACACAAAGATTATCATGGCCCCTGCACAAGGATGACACGCAAATTTGTGAACCATTAAAAAAAAAAGTCAATGATTTTTGGGTGTTGATTTTGTATCCTGCTACTTTGCCAAATTCATTTATTCAATCTAGTAGGTTTTTGGTAGTCTTTAGGAATTTCTATGTACAATATTATGTCATCTTCAAATAATGACACTTTCACTTCCTCCTTTCCAATTTGGATACTTTTTATTTTCTCTTCTTGCTTGGTTGCTGTGGCTAAGACTTCCAGTACTATGTTGAATGAGAGTGGCAAAAGTGAACATCCGTGTCTTGTTCCTGTTCTTAAAAGAAATTATTTTAGTTTTTCCCATTGAGTATGATGTTGTTGGCTATAGTTCTGTCATATATGGCCTTTATTATGTTGAGGTGTGATCCTTTTAGTCCCACTATGCTCAGAGTTTTTATCAAAAATTGGTGCTGGATTTTGTCAAATGCTTTTTCAGCATCTATTGATATGATCATATGACTTTTACTTTTTCCTTTTGTTTATGTGGTGTATCGCATTTATTGATTTGCCAATATTGTACCAACCTTGCATCCCTAGGATTAATCTCACTTGATCGTGGAGTATGTTTGTTTAAATATATTGCTGGATTCGATTTGCTAAAGTTTTATTGAGGATTTTGGCATCTATGTTCATTGGGGATATTGGTCTGTAATTTCTTTTTTTGCAGTGTCTTTATCTGGTTTTGGGATTATGATTATACTGGTCTGATAAAAAGAGCTTGGAAGTCTTTCTTCTTCTTAAATTTTTTGGAATAGTTTGAGCAGAATAGGTGTTAGTTATTCTTTGAATGTTTGGTAGAACTCCCCTATAAATTCGTCTGGGACAAGCCTTTTGTTTGCTGGGAGTTTATTGATAACTGTTTCTATTTCCTTAGTTGTTATTGGTCTGTTCATGTTTTCTGACTCTTCACAGTTGAGTTTTGGAAGACCATATGATTCTATGAATTTGTCTGATTCACCTAGGTTGTTGAATTTGTTGGCATATAGTTGTTCATAGTATTTTCTTACAAACCTTTGTATTTCTATGGTGTCCCTTATTTCCTCTCTTTCATTTCTGATTTTATTAACTTGGGTTCTCTCTCTTTGTTTCTTGGTGAGTCTGGCTAAAGGTTGATCAATCTTGTTTATCTTTTCAATAAACCAGCTCTTGGTTTCATTGATCTTTTGAATTGTTTTCTTAGTCTCTATGTCATTTATTTCTGCTCTGATTGTTATTAATTTTTTCTTTCTACTAACTCTGGGTTTTTCCTTTTTGTTCTCTTTCTAAATCTTTAACTTGTAGGGTTAGATAGTTTATTAGAAAATTTTGTTATTTCTTGAGGTAGGCCTGTAAGGCTATGAACTTCCCTCTTAGGAGTACTTTTGCTGTGTCCCATAGATTTTGTGTTGTTTTGTCTTCATTTTCATTAGTTTCCAGGAAGGTTTTTATTTCTTTTCTGATCTCATTGGTAACCAATTCATTGTTTAATAATATGCTATTTAGCCTCCATGTGTTTGGATGTTTTTGAGTGTTTTTATTGTCATTGATTTCTAGTTTCATGCCATTGTGATCCTAAATGATGCTTGATGTGATTTCAATTTTTTTGAACCTGTAGAGACTTAGTTTGTGTCCAGACATGTGGTCTATCTTTGAGAATGTCCCCTGTGCACTTGAGAAGAATGTATATTCTGCAGCTTTCTGGTGAAATGTTCTGTAAATATCAATTAAATTTAGCTGATCTAATGTGTTGTTTAGGATCTCTGTTTCCTTATTAATTTTTTGTCTAGTATATCTATCCAGTGGTGTCGGTGGGGTGTTAAAATCCCCTACTATAATTGTATTGCTGTCAATCTCTTCCTTGAAGTTCTCTAGACATTTTTAAATGTATTTTGGTGTCCTATATTCAGTACACATATGTGTACCAGGGTTATATCCTATTGTTGGATTAATCCCTTTAATATTATGTAGTGACCTTTTTAGTCTCTTATCATGACCCTCATTTTGAAGTCTATCATATCAGATATGAGTACTGCTATACCAGCTTTTTCTGTTTTCATTACGTTGTGGTTTTTAAAATGTACATCTTCCCTTGTTATTCTACCTCATTCTTTTCAACAGCTATATAGTATCTGTTATGGAATATTTGTGTTTCCCCATCAAAAAAAGTCCTAAATTGAAGTCCCAATCCCAAATGTGATTTTCTTTGTATGTGGGCCCTTTGGGAGGTATGATATTGTGATTTATAAGAAAAAAATATATTTTGTCATTCAGATGACCAAAATATATGTCTCATATATATTTGGTCTTCCTTCATGGTTCATGGCTCACGGTTCCCAACACCCTTGTAATTTCCTAAGTATTGAGAGTGAAAAAGAGTTATTTTGTTATGTTAATGAAGTGACCTTTGGAAAGCTCTTAAGAAAAGAAAGGGGTTAGCTGCCAGTAAAGCCAACCATGTGATTATAAGGTTGGCACTTTTAGTGCCACCCCCCAACTTCCTGGGCCAGCAGAGGGGCTGGATGTTGAGTTCAGTCACCAATGGTCACTCATACTATGTGAGAAAGCCCCCATTAAAACCCAAAAGTGGGGATTGGAAGAGATTCCCAGTTGGTGAACACATGGAGATTTGGGGAGAGTGGCATGCTCCAAGAGCATGGAAGCTCCATGATCTTTCCCATTTAGCTTGCCCTATGTGTCTCTTCCATATGACTATTCCTGAGTTTTACTCTTTTATAATAAACCTGTAATCTAGTGAGTGAAAAGGTTTCCTGAGTTCTCTGAGCTACTCTAGAAAATTAATTAAACCCAAGGAGACTGTCATGATGACCTCTGATCTATAATCAGTGCGTCAGAAGCACAGATAACAACCTGGGCTTTCTACTGGCATCTAAAGTTGGGGAGGTGGGGCACCCTTGTAGGACTGAGCCCTTCAACTGTGGAATCTGATGCTATGTCTAGGTTAATAATGTCAGAATTGAGTTTAATTTTCAGACATCCTGCCTATGTTCCAGAATTGCTTGGTGCTGTAGGGGAACCTCCCCCCCCCCCCCCCCAATGCACACGCATTGGAATTGGATCCAGGAACAAAAAAAAGAGGAGGTAATTCAGTTTCAGTGAAAAATTCTTGTGTTGAAGTCACAGGAATGAAGTCACGAGGGTGGAGTTCCTGTGGTGGGATTAGTGTCTTCATAATAAGATGAAGGGACACCACAGAGTATTCTCTCTACTATGTGATAATACAGCAACAGGCAAGCCAGGAAGAGGAACAAAACCAAGAAGAGAATCTGCTGGCATTTTGATCTTGGACTTCTCTGCCTCTGGAACTGTGAGAAATAAGTATCTGTTGTTTAAACCATCCAGTGTAATGTATTTTGTTATAGCACCTGAGGTAACTAAGACAGTATTCCACAGTGTTGGCATATCATAGTTCATTATTAATTCTGAACTATTTTCCTATTAATCCCCTTTTAGGTTTTTTCCCCAGTGTCTTGTTTTCACAAAAAATTCTAGAGTATACATCCTTCCTACATATATGTTTGTAAATATGTTTGAATATTTCTGTAGGAAGGATTAATAAAAATGGAATCATTTGATCAAAATATGTACATTTACAAATGTTAAGGATGTAGACAAGTTTCCTATATTAACTTATATTTCCCCAACAGTTTAATTGCTTCCAAACCCTGTTTTCCTAATAGTGCTAACATAATTATGCCCCCACTAAGAATGAACCTATGGAAATATATTATTTAAAATTAATATCAGATAGTACTTTTAAATGTAATGCAATTTTTCCCTCTGTATGAAATATATTCCTATACAAATGCTGAAAACTGGCTCTTTTTTATTCTATTTTAGATAAACAAAGTGCGGCATTTAAATAAATAGGAGGCTATGGAAAAGAGAGATGTAATCAGAATTTCTGGTGCTAATTTCTTATATTTTTGCATTCAGTGCTGCTGGTATCCCCCGACACAGATCAGGTACATGCAGTCCATGAGGTCATACATCACACAGAAAGCAAGATCATTTCTAGAATGTATTTCATCCCGTAAAGACAACTTCACTAGATAACTTTATCATATTTTTCAAATTAGAGTTTCATGGCAGTGGATTTGCAACCAGGGACTCATATTGAGTTTGAATTCAACTAAAACTCCAGTTTTTTGTTTATTTGTTTATTCATTTATTGTGGCTACTATGGTTGTAGTTTAAACACAAATAATTACTTAGCTAGGTTTTCCCAACCTGTTTATATATACAATGGGTGTAATTTTTAAATCCCAAGTTAAGAAATTCTTGTGTATTTTTACAAGATATAAACACACCACCTTGCTAATTTCAGCTCATGTATCCACTTGTCATGTATCCACTTCTTGACACTTGATTCTGTCATTTATTATATTAGCCCACTCTTCCATTTCTGTATCATTTATGCATTTAACAAACATACATCCCTCTTGTGAATTCATTCAACTCACTTTTAAAATGTTGAACATGCTCTGGCCAGTTTGGCTCAGCAGTTAGAGTGTTGGCCTGCAGACCAATGAGTCATGGGATCGATCCAGTCAAGGGCACATATACCTTGGTTGCAGTTCAATCACCAGTGCAGGAGGCAACCAATCAATGTGTCTCTCTCACATCAATGTTTCTCTCTTTCTTCCCCTCCCTCCCACTCTATCTGAAAATCAATGGAAAAATATCCCTGGGTGAGGATTAAAAAAAAAAAAATGTTGAATAGGACGCATCCAAACACAACTACATGTCTGTGCCACATTATGTGATGTGATAACAGACATCATCCTGTTTTTCTGTCTTGTCTTTCATTAAAAAAGCCATTGCCCTGAACTGAAATGAGTCTGATGCCACTAGCCAGTAGCCTAGGTGTGGAAAATATAAGATGATTGTAGCAGAAAGAAATGTTAATGGAAGGAATAGAGTTGCTACTTTTCACTCAGATTTGTATCTAAACCGGCCTAATGGGAAAGATAGTAGAGAAGGACCTCATATAAATTGAATTAAGTTCTTGTAAAATGAGA